AAACATGATTATTATAGCAGCAGGCACAAAGTTCACGGTGTACAAGAAAGTGAAACTTCCTTCATCTTCAAATGCTAAAATTATTTCCTGACTTGAAGCCCACCCTCCATTTTTTTGAACCTGATGTAGAAAATTAGTCTTGTCACATCAGGTAAACTAAGGGCTTTTTCAACCGTAAGCTTGTAAACTCAGTCATTCCAAGGTGTTTGCTTTTTTGTTCCCCTCTCTCAATGCTGCCCTGGTGGAGAAAGAGAAGTGTCAACTTCTCAGCCTTGGTTTGACTTGCCAGGTCTTCGGCACAGGAAATAAATCACAGTCCTTCAAAGGGCAAAGAGATGGTCCTAGGAGGCCAACTCTACTCCCTGCAGATGACAGTCTGCTGAGATGTAGCCATGGACTCAACAGATTTCCAGGGGGGAGTGCCCATGCCATATCCATCTAATATGAACTCCCTTTGTCCAGTTGTGAGACTCAAACCAGGGGACCTTTCTTCAGCCTTCTCATGCCTACTGTCCTGCTATCTTTTTTTTTTGTTTATTTTTTTTCATAATAGCTGAGAATATTTCTTTTTTTAATTTATTTTTATCCTGCTATCTTTTTACTTTACTGGATTCACCAACCAGATGGGGGTGGGTGCTTTCTTTTCTGGGGAGCTTACAGTTTCCCTGGACCTCACCTAGAACAGAATGTTACTGAACTCAGGTTCAGCTGCTCGCCGTTCGAAAGCCAATACTCGAGAAGCAAGTGTTGGTTGGAAAAGGAAAAGATTGCTTTATTCAGGAGGCCAGCAACCTGGGGAGAAGGCAGACTCATGTCCCAGAACCAACTCTGAAGATTCTGCTCAGCCATGAAAGTTTTTAAAGGGAAAAGGGAAATAATCTTAGTAAATCATTAAGTTAGGGGGTCAGATTCTCACCATCTCCCATTGTGTGCTTATTGACTTCTTGTGATCTTTTTTTAGATTCTATCTTGTTCACACAGTCTGCTCTCCAGATTACTGAAGGGGAAGCTGGGGAAAATATCTGTTAATCACTTTTTCTTCATTTCTACTTCTTTAATCTAAGAAAAGGATCAACAGGTTATGTGAGGCATTGTGTGAGCAAAATATTTGAAAGGTTGGTTAAGCATGGGGGCCTCTCATGTAAAAGATAGTTAAGATAGGGACTTCCCTGGTGGCGCAGTGGTTAAGAACCTGCCTGCCAATGCAGGGGACATGGGTTTGATCCCTGGTCCAGGAAGATCCCACATGCCATGGAGCACCTAAGCCCGTGTGCCACAGCTACTGAGCCTGTGCTCTAGAGCCCATGAGCCACAACTACTGAAGCCCGCACGCCTAGAGACCATGCTCTGCAACAAGAGAAGCCACCGCACTGAGAAGCCACAATGAAGAGTAGCCCCCGCTTGCCACAACCAGACAAAGCCTACACACAGCAACGAAGACCCATCACAGTCAAAATATAAATAAATAAATAAATTAATTAATATTTTAAAAAATTAGCTAAGATATAGCTTTACTAAAGTGACAAGGCAAAGGGTCTCCTGCAAAGAGCTGCTTCCTGCAAAGAGCTTTTTATAAATCCCCACTGTTAGACATGATTCCATTTCTATGGGATTAGGGGTGAAGGTTCATCTTCTGTAACTTCTTCATGCTGACATAGGGCACCATATTCTTAGAGTGGAAGATGTCGACATGGGTCTGCAGCATCTCTCTGCTGACAGTTTTAGTTGCCCGCTTACATATATGGGCAGAACAAGCCACGGTTATTTTGATGCCCACAAAGATGCAGATTATTATGAGCAATAGTGTTAATCCCATTCTCTTGAAGCCAGTTCTCGGAATTGTGCTAGCCATAGATTCAGTGCTGCTCAAGAGGGAGCAGCTTATGTCATAGCTTTAGCCTGGTCATCATGCAGTTAGCTTTTTCCCTCTAGTGGCAGTTATAGTATCTGTAAAACAACTCAGGAATGTGCATCAGACAGGAATTTAAGATTCTGTGACTGTATTGTCCTAATCATTAACTGCTTGAGCCTGCTCTTTCGTGACTCAGGGGAAGCCTGGGATACCTCAGCTTTTCTACAAACAAGAGGTAGGGGACACGGAGGGACCTTTGTACTTGGAGGGGCCCTGCAGGGTTCTGCTCAGATTCAAGAAGGCACACGTTCTCCACTTGTGGATCATCAAACTTAAAGGGAGTGAAAGGAGAAAGAAGATACTTGAAAAGATGGTTATGTTTGTGTGGTGCCCTTGCCCAACTCTGCACTCCATCTGAGGATGTGGGAGGAGTAGGGCTCCCCAGGCTTACACCTAACTCTTCAACCCTTCCTTCCTACCCTTCTCATGTCTGTATGGGGAGGGCAGAAAAAACAGACAGAATTCCTTTTTCTTCCCTTCATCACTTTTGTCTGCCTCTTAAATCTTGCTTTTTAAAATTTAAGTTTAAAAATTAAGATGTCTTGTTTGATAGCCAGCAAATTTTTCACAATCTCCCAATGGACCAAACAGGAATCCACATCTGAGCCTAAAAGCAGGAGGGTGGTTAGAGGGGCAGACAATGAGTGAGAGAAAAATCATGTTGATTAATACCTCATTTTCCTTTTTTTTTTTCTTACTGTCATCAAGCTCATTAACATACCCACTTGCTCATCCATATACCTTATTTTTTCTTTTAACATCTTTATTGGAGCATGATTGCTTTACAATGGTGTGTTAGTTTCTGCTTTATAACAAATTGAATCAGTTATACATATACATATGTTCCCATACCTATTACCTCTTGCGTCTCCCTCCCTCCCACCCTCCCCATGCCACCCCTCCAGGCGGTCACAAAGCACCGAGCTGATATCCCTGTGCTATGTGGCTGCTTCCCACTAGCTATCTACCTTACGTTTGGTAGTGTATATATGTCCATGCCACTCTCTCACTTCGTCCCAGCTTACCCTTCCCCCTCCCCATATCCACAAGTCCATTCTGTAGTAGGTCTGTGTCTTTATTCCCGTCTTAACTCTAGGTTCTTCATAACCTTTTTTTTTTTTCTTAGATTCCATATATATGTGTTAGCATATGGTATTTGTCTTTCTCTTTCTGACTTACTTCACTCTGTATGACAGACTCTAGGTCCATCCACCTCACTACAAATAACTCAATTTCATTTCTTTTTATGGCTGAGTAATATTCCATTGTATATATGTGCCACATCTTCTTTATCCATTCATCTGTTGATGGACACTTAGGTTGCTTCCATGTCCTGGCTATTGTAAACACAGCTGCAGTGAACATTTTGGTACATGACTCTTTTTGAATTATGGTTTTCTCAGGGTATATGCCCAGTAGTGGGATTGCTGGATCATATGGTAATTCTATTTTTAGTTTTTTAAGGCACCTCCATACTGTTCTCCATAGTGGCTGTATCAATTTACATTCCCACCAACAGTGCAGGAGGGTTCCCTTTTCTCCACAACCTCTCCAGCATTTATTGTTTCTAGATTTTTTGATGATGGCCATTCTGACCGGTGTGAGATGATACCTCATTGTAGTTTTGATTTGCATTTCTCTAATGATTAATGATGTTGAGCATTCTTTCATGTGTTTGTTGGCAATCTGTATATCTTCTTTGGAGAACTGTTTGTAGATGACATGATACTATACATAGAGAATCCTAAAGATGCTACCAGAAAACTGCTAGAGCTAATCAATGAATTTCGTAAAGTAGCAGGATGCAAAATTAATGCACAGAAATCTCTGGCATTCCTATACACTAATGATGAAAAATCTGAAAGTGAAATTAAGAAAACACTCCCATTTACCATTGCAACAAAAAGAATAAAACATCTAGAAATAAACCTACCTAAGGAGACAAAAGACCTGTATGCAGAAAATTATAAGACACTGATGAAAGAAATTAAAGATGATATAAATAGATGGAGAGATGTACCATATTCTTGGACTGGAAGAATCAACATTGTGAAAATGACTCTACTACCCAAAGCAATCTACAGATTCAATGCAATCCCTATCAAACTACCACTGGCATTTTTCACAGAACTAGAACCAAAAATTTCACAATTTGTATGGAAACACAAAAGACCCCAAATAGCCAAAGCAATCTTGAGAAAGAAAAATGGAGCTGGAGGAATCAGGCTCCATGACTTCAGACTGTACTACAAAGCTACAGTAATCAAGACAGTATGGTACTGGCACAAAAACAGAAATATAGGTCAATGGAACAGGATAGAAAGCCCAGAGATAAACCCACGCACATATGGTCACCTTATCTTTGATAAAGGAGGCAAGAATATACAATGGAGAAAAGACAGCCTCTTCAATAAGTGGTGCTGGGAAAACTGGACAGGTACCTGTAAAAGTATGAAATTAGAACACTCCCTAACACCATGCACAAAAATAAACTCAAAATGGATTAAAGACCTAAATGTAAGGCCAGACACTATCAAACTCTTAGAGGAAAACAGGCAGAACACTCTATGACATAAATCACAGCAAGATCCTTTTTGACCCACCTCCTAGAGAAATGGAAATAAAAACAAAAATAAACAAATGGGACCTAATGAAACTTAAAAGCTTTTGCACAGCAAAGGAACATAAACAAGACCAAAAGATAATCCTCAGAATGGGAGTAAATATTTGCAAATGAAGCAACTGACAAAGGATTAATCTCCAAAATTTACAAGCAGCTCATGCAGCTCAATAAAAAAAAAACAAACAACCCAATCCAAAAATGGGCAGAAGTCCTAAATACCTCATTTGTCTTATCCTACCATATTTCATTATATTCAACATCCTTGTGTTATTATTACTATTATTATTATTTTGGTGTAAGTTTTTATAAACTCTAGAAAGAAGTCATCAATTTTATTTTAAATTTTATCATAACAATCCCAAGAGTTAGTTATCCACATTCACCTTGGTTTTCTCCTACATACTTTGAAAAGCGTCACAGTTTTTTTTTTCTCCCTTTAGGGAAACATGTTGACATCCAGATTATCTAAAGTCATGGATTCAAGGTAAGGCAAGGGCTGCTGTCAGCAACATAAAATCACATAACATCCCACAATCCTTTTTGTTAAGAGACCAAGACACTCTGACATACGTTATCAATGTTAGATGACATTGCACAGTGCAGTAGTTTTTATATGAGACCCCAGCTCCTCCACATAACACGTCTGAACCTATGCTTCCCTGAAGAATTTAAGCCATCCACCTCTCTAGGGTTTACTATCCCCCTTGACCTTTACCTAAGGAAAGGAATAGTAGGTATAAATTTCAGAATTTATGACAAATGAGCATTATTTTTTTTCTCCATGTTTCAATTTCTGTCTCCCATTCCATTTTTAAAAACTATCACGTTATATGTTGTTTTAAAACATTTCGTCAAGTTTTTATATCCATTTATAACCTGTGGACATGATTAGAATTTAGGGGTATATTACACCTCATCAGTGAAAACTTCAAGATTCGAAATCAAAGTTTTAAGCCGCATCTATAGCAAATATTCTGTTAATTCACCTTGACTTTGTCTTTCCTCCCAGGTTTAATTAACCATTCTCCAGGAGTCACTTATCTTTTTACCAGGTTTTCATTTTATTTCACTTCAATTCACTTGTCCAAGTTGTTAGTTGATTTTCTACCCAGCTACTGGAATAAATGTCATTCCTCCTAGTATTTTACTATCTGTGCCTTTGTGATTTTCCTTTGTTGGCACTGACTTTTTATTTACTTTTTGTGATTCATGAATTTTCTAAATCGGTAACTTGGAAAATGTTGCATAGACTCTTGATTGCTCACAATCCAAACAACTAGAAAACTCAAAAGATTGTAACAATCCTGAGGTTCAGCATCACAGCTGGTGGTCAGAGTGATGTAGCTGTGATGGTGCCTGATGCTGGTGTCCCCATAATCAATAATCCATAATTAATTATGTCTTGAAATGTTTTATGTATGGAGGTGTTTATTCAAAATGTTAGAAAAAAAACCAAAAACCAAATGAAAACAACAATAATAATTATACAGGTATGTATTATACTCACTCTAGTTATACACTCTTTACTTGTACCTTCCTTTAGTGAATCTACACTAAATGTCAGCACAGCAAATCATAATTCTGTTCGGCTGGTTTCCTGCCTCATTGGCTCAGTTCTTCTGTCCTGTTTTACTCCAGATCTTGGCTCAGGCTTTTGTTCTGCCCCAGTGGATACATTACATGATTTTCTGCCATTACCTCTGGCTCTGGGGTAATGGCACTCCCTTGGGCACAAAGTATGATATTTTTCCACTGATTCCAGCCACCACCACTCTAACTCTGAGGCACAGACTGGCCGCCTCTCCTTCCCCTACTCCCTGTTGTGTAATACCAAACCTCCGGACAGTGTTACAGCTGAGTTCATCAGGACAGGGTGGTGAGGAAGAGGGTTAGACCTACGATATATACAGTAACGTTCCGTTAACCTAAACTTCTCCAAGATATATATACTGTGATCAGAAAACAGACTCTCTCTTACCACAGTATAGACTTGTTCAGCTGGTCATTTGTATTATCTGTTGTTCCGTTGTGTCTGATTCCAAGATCAGGCTTATCCCTTGCCCGGAGCTGTCCACAAAGGATAGATTCCCTGATGAGCAATGGACTGGGTTGGCTGAACAATTCTACTAACTTGAGGCTTGTTAACCTGAGTATAGGGGTTGTTGAAGTGTGGGCTCAGGAATTCAGTCCTGCTCCAGGCTCAGACACACTTTCCCTTTCTGTCATCTAACTGCCTTTCTACTTAAGAATTTCAAAAGCTTAGCATAGTTGAATTCTAAGCTGATGCCAAGATACTTTGTTATGCCAGCAAGAAAAAACATCAAGAAAAGGAAGAATAATGTTCAGTGACTGAACCTGAAACTAATGCAAATGATATCTTTCATCTGTATAGCATTTTAACACTTTTAAAAGGATATTATCTATTTAATATTCACAACAATACTTACCTCTCATTGCCCCTATTTTACGAGTGAGGAAATAGAGCTCAGAGAAGAAGAATTACTTGTAAAATGTCACACAGCCATAAATGTCATAAATGACAGAGTAAAGGTGAAAACTCAAGTTTTTTGGACCCTCTGTCTAGAACCCTTTTTCCTACCCACACTGCCTTTGTGACTAGCTCAAGTTATAGAATGACAAATAACCCCCCAAAACAAAAAACACAAGAACAGAACCAGGATTATGCTTTGACTTTATTGTAAAGATGAGTCCCTATCCTCTACCAGATTTTCTCCATTCCTTTCAATATCCATTTTCGTGTGAATTCTTCTTCTAGGCCAAATCTGACTCAGCTCTAAAATTTCCACATTCTCCATCCGCCAAATTTTCTTCTCCTCATTAAAAATCTTCTTTAAAGTCCAATTACTATGACTTTCCTATAGTACATCCTTAAATTTCTTTGTGAGTATCTTAATTCAGGAGTTGAAATTTTTATACTGTGTCCTGTTCCCTGTTAATACTCAGAACACATTAACTAATCTTTATGAGAACGTTTCAGGGCCTAAAACTGTAGATAGTGCTAACTTTTCCCATCATGTAGGGTACTTCCTCACAGGGATTTTGGGGTTTAGATTACTCAGCACATGGAACACATTTAGAATAATGCCTTACACATAGTACATGCTCAGTAGAAATTGTTTTGTTATTGCCATTATTGTTATCATTTTTTGGCATACACTGGAGTGAGAAGTGAATCGCTCTCAGATCAGATTGATGAAGATTTAAAAATGTATTCAATTCTGGGCTTCCCTGGTGGTGCAGTGGTTGAGAGTCCGCCTGCCGATGCATGGCCGCTGAGCCTGCGCGTCTGGAGCCTGTGCTCCGCAACGGGAGAGGCCACAACAGTGAGAGGCCCGCGTACTAAAAAAAAAAAAAAAAAAAAAAAAAAATGTATTCAATTCTAAATGACAATTGCGTGTTGTCCTTTTTTTTTTTTAATCAATTTACTTATTATTTTATTTTTTGGTGCATTGGGTCTTTGTTACTACACGCAGTCTTTCTCTAGTTGCAGTGAGCGGGGGCTACTCTTCGTTGCGGTGCACAGGCTTCTCATTGCAGTGGCTTCTCTTGTTGCGGACCACGGGCTCTAGGCGCGCGGGCTTCAGTAGTTGCAGCACGCGGGCTCGGTAGTTGTGGCGCACAGGCTTAGTTGCTCCATGGCATGTGGATCTTCCCAGACCAGGGCTCGAACCCGTGTCCCCTGCATTGGCAGGTGGATTCTTAACCACTGTACCACCAGGGAAGCCCCATGTGTTCTCTTTCTGACTTGTAAATTTAAAAAGATAAATCACTGCCTTTATTTGGGTGTTTTTTTAAAATAAATATTATCATTAATGTTTATACGGAATAAAAGAATTCTAGCCTGGTAAATTTCTGTTTACAAGCTATAGTTTGCAAAAGCTGTTCTACCCCTATAGTTACCAGTGGTGAAGGTTGTTTGGTTGCAATTATAAACATGCTCATCTACCAATATTTTGTGGCAGAAATATTGTAGTACTGAACATGTTCTGAATTCTTTTCAGTTTCTTTTTATTTTTTAATCACTAAGGATGTTTGGATGACAATAATTTGTTGTTCAAGAGTTCCTCTTGTCATGCAGCTTATTTCTCTCACCTAAAATAGAAATGTATTTTTAATTGCTAAAATATGCACTTTTAAGCACATTGTCATTATACTTGAAAACTGGAAACCTATAACAATAGAAGTAACAACACTCAAATTAACCCTGGAAAGAATGCTTAAGAAAACTATGATGTAATTCAAAGTTTACTTCTATCGAATAAGCCACAATATGGGGTGAATTTTATATGTACTCATAACTTACATAGTTCAATTTAGCAATTACTATTATTAAGTAATAAGTGCAGGCATTATATCAGTAACATTAATCAAAACGACTCCCCATTGAAAGTTGCAACTATGATTCCCTACTCTCTACCTCAGAGATTAGCTCTCCCCAAGAAAAGTGACACAGTTCTCCTTTTATCAGATTATCCCACCCCTTCCTACAAACTATTCTAGGCTGTTTCTTTTATGTGGAAAGTTTTCCTATTCCCAGAAGTCCAAACTCATCATTCTACACACAGCTAAAGTTTTGTGTCCTCAATGTCCTAGTAGTTTGAAAGGGAGGCGTCTGTTTCTCTGTATTTTATTTTGCCTCCAAGTACAGATCTCTGAGCTCCCCATTCCTCAAACTACACACTTTGATATTTATGTATTTGTTCATGTTCAGTCACTTTAAAGCTGAGTTTCTGCGTGCCATTTTTATATTTGAAGTTTTGTTCTCTAGAATCTCTTGGATGATGGACAGTGTTTAATGATTTTTATGGAATGCCTACCAGAGGGCTTCATTCAGTGAATTATTAATAATAAATGTGTTTTTTTGGTGCTAATATAGCAAGATAGCTAGTGGTTTATTTGTTTTTTCTGAACTGGATGTTTTTAAATACTCACTGCGTGTATACTCAGTTTCATTTGTGTCATTTGCATGTATGAAGACACTAGCTAAGCACCCTCCTGATCAGAGAGAAAACACACGCTGTATCCTGCCAGCATTCTCTAGAACAGCAGCCCGGGCAGCAGAAGAATGATGCCTTAGAAGAGAGGAAACTGTTTACCTTGGTTCAAGTCTAGCATCATTGTTTCCCTGCTCCCAGGGTGAAGGTCGTCTCTGAGCCGACATGGTGTGTGGTCCTCTCATGTGTGTCCACATAGCAAACAGAGAGGAGCTATAGATCCTGAAGGCACTGATTCTTCTATTTCAGTGAAAGGAAAATGATCCAAATATCCAGTTGTCATCAGCACGTTTCTATGTGGATGCCACACAGGCACTCCTAATTCAGCATGCTCATTTCTCCCCTGGAACATGATCCCTTTCTTATGTTCTCGCCCTCAGAAAAGACTATCATTATCCATCCAGTGACCAAGCCAGGTGGCCTGGGCAGTCATTTGCGAGTTTGTCTTCTCTTTCACCACCATGTTCAG